CTGTTGCTCTCAATGTCCGGCTGCAAAAAATATATTTTCAAACTATTTATTGGCAAATTTAGTCTGATAATTGAAAACACGGATGAAATATGAAACAAATAAAATAAAACACATACAAAGCAGAAAACAGCTAAATGTATCAAAAGTATGTCTGTAATATTAGAATTTTCTGAGACAATTTTTTTTTCTTTACCAGTAAGAGGTTTTTGTTTAATAGAATTTTTGGACAAAAAATCACAATATATCGCCTTGCTTACAGTATCGCAATATATCGGGACATATCGTATCGTGACCCCTCTGTCATGATATGTACCGTATCGCCAAATTCTTCCCAATACACAGCCCTAGTATCYTGATGAAGCCGGTAATTTCCATCTCTACAACTCACGAGCCTTGGATCCTTTCATGTTGGGATCCAGGAGAGACGACACCTCGGCAAACGGCATCTCGGTGGCAGGTTCGGAGTTTGCGCTCAGGTCCGGAGGCAGCTCCTGATGCTGGGGCACGTTCTCCGTCTGGAGTGGGGCAGAACCCTGCATCTGATGCTGAATGTCGAGCATTTCAACCTGGTTCTGGTCTAACAGGGCCTGACCCTGCGCCTGAGAAGGGACTAAAGCGTTTTCAGATAAACCCTGCATCCCCATGCCTCCTGCTGATATGCTGTTGCCTTGCTCCGAAGACACCTGGAAAATGCTCATCARTGGCTTTACCACCGTGAAAACCATGTTCCCCTGGCCGTCCAAACCCACTACCCTACCAGACGGGTCCATGTCTTTGCTKAAATGTTGTCGTCCTGGCAGAAATAATGAAAGAAGCTCTAGAACTACTAGTTTTGGTTCTCTCTCTGTCCTGCATGTACTGTATTACTCTATCTCAAATAGTGAGTTTTAACTAATTTAACTAAAAGTGGCCGATWAGTCGGTTCTTTTGACTCTAGCTGAGAATAAAACCCCCTACGTTAAAGCTGTTGCAGTTTTTCTCATTGCTACTGGTCCTTTAACTCCTCATGGCAACACATCTGCAGTTTTATTCTGGAAAACAAAAAGAATAGAACATGATGGTTAATGTCCTGATGCATCTCAGTAATCCAGGTAAAAAATCAAAAAGAAAAAAATTGTATAGGTCTTCTGGWCGGGTTCTTCTCTAATGAAACGTTTCGTCTCTTCTCCAAGAGACTTCTTCAGTCTGAGAGTTTCAGGCAAAATTCAGGCTTTTAAGCCCTGCCTCCATGTGACTGATACTCACATCACATGGCTATCGCTGACACCTAATTAACACCTATTGTTAACAGGGGGTGGAGTGGTACTGGCAATAGCAGCACTGTAGGAGGGGTACAACTGAAAACGGAGGCCTATCCTGACTGGGCTTTCCTGAAAGCAGACAGGAAACACAGACAGGACTCCATGCAACCTTCAGATGAAAACGAAGACCCCAAACCCAGACCCAAACCAGTGGTTATTCCGTATGTTGCGGGTGTTTCGGAGAAACTGAGACGTTTATTTTCTAAACATGATGTCCCAGTGGCTTTCAAACCCCAAAACACATTACGGCAAAGGCTGGTTCGCCCCAAAGATCCGGTGCCCCGGCACAAACAGAGCAATGTTGTATATGCTGTTAAGTGCCAGGAGGACTGCGACCAGTTATACATCGGGGAAACAAAGCAGCCACTGTTCAAAAGAATGTCCCAACACAGATGAGCTACATCTAATGACCAGAACTCTGCAGTTTTCACTCATTTACAGGCCAGCGGTCACTCTTTCAGAGATGAGGATGTTCTCATTCTTGATAGAGAGGAACGTTGGTTTGAGAGAGGAGTAAAAGAAGCCATTTTTGTGAAGAAAGACCGTCCATCATTAAACAGAGGTGGAGCCCTCCGTTTTCAGTTGTCCCCCTCCTACAGCGCGCCTATTGCCAGTATCACTCCACCCCCTGTTAACAATAGGTGTTAATTAGGTGTCAACGATAGCCATGTGATGTGAGTATCAGTCACATGGAGGCWGGGCTTAAAAGCCTGAATTTTGCCTGAAACTCTCAGACTGAAGAAGTCTCTTGGAGGAGAGACGAAACGTTTCATTAGAGAAGAACCCGTCCAGAAGACCTATACAAATTTTTTTTCCTTTTGATGATGAATAATGCCTGTGGTTTGAATAACTTACTAACATTACTATATGATCTGACATGTTTACATACCATTTTCAACCAACTGTGCCTGTTAAAAGATTTGTACATCATTGTGTTATTTGCATTTTATAATAACTTTATAAATYATGGCTTGTGTGCAAATACACACACGAGGACAGTACGAGTATTGTGTTTTTACTCAGCTAGTGGTTTTACTTTGCTATTTGCTTAGCTGAGATGTTTGTAAAAAAGACAAWATAGCAGGTTTAGCTCAAACTACAWTAACCGTGTTTAARGTTCAGKTTATTTACGCTTCATGAGACAAACTTTGAGGACACAAAGAGAGGCGTGTAATAAATCAGTTTGAGTCTCGCCCCATCAACACAAAGCTTTTTTAAGTCAACTTTACCATTTTTAAAGCTTAAAGCGACATGTGACATTTTATATCTACAGGTTTGGACTATTATTATCGCTGCCAACTTTGAGCCAAACCTAATTGAACTTTAAGCTAATAACGCCGGTAATTTGAGCAAAATTAGCGCATCTAACATGAACAAACATCCATCATGGCTGCCAGCCGTCGCTGCTGTTTGCTGTGAAATATGAAACAAAGACACCCAGCTGCGGTTTAGAACCGCAGACGAGTTCTAACTTTGGATGCAACAAGTGATGGCTGTCTCACTCACCGATTTACCGTCGATTTTTTTTTTTTCCCCCCCACCAAAAGCGGAGCTGATCCTAGAACGGTCCGGGTTCAAGCCAGCGACATTTTCCCTTCTTCTCTGCTGCTGCTTCGGCGGGTTGCAAATCAGCCATACGTGCACCGCCGTSCGCAGCAGTAATCTCTGTTCTGATTGGTGGACCGACGGATCAATCATTCCAGAAGCTAATTTCATTGGTCCAGAAAAGAGTAAACATACCAAGGGGGGCGGTATTTCCGTGATGCATTTCTTTGAATAGACAACTTGAAAAAAATTAAATTACAAGAAAAATAACACCCAATTTATTATTTTTTTAAACTTTTTGAGTTGTTCTTTACAATAAAAATGCGACTTTCCAGATTAGTTTAAATTTTGTATTTTTCTTATACCTATTTCACTGCTTTTTTAGAGAAAATATCGATGTAATTAATGCAGGTCGGATGTACCGGCATGTAAAATAGAGGATTTACGGTCTAAGAATGTTTTAATTTCAAAATAGTGTCTCCCCACCAAGATACCATTTAACAGCTGATTTTAAAGAGCCGATACATTCAGTTATACCTTTGTATTTTCTCAGTATTGTCCTATTTTCAGATTCTACTGTTGCCACAATGCAAGAGGTAATGCAATTTGATAAAGTCACTAAAAACTCTAGTTAAAACATTACTATGTCCTATAATGCAGAGGTTTTCAAACTGGGGTCTCTGGGGTCCATGAGAGGTATCTTGGGGGTCCTCAAAATTTTTTATTAAATAGTTAATTTGGTTTTTATTTTTAAAAATGCATGGAGAACAATAAACTATTAAAACAAACGATAAATGTAATAAAAATATATATTCCCATGGCATTTAGGGTTTGAAATGACAAAACATTATCTTTTAAAACATTTGGTTTATGCGGGGATCCCTGGAATTATTATTTTTTTCGTTTTTATAAGGGGTCCCCAAACCCAAAAGGCTTGAGAACCCCTGCTATAATGGATTGCAGTTTTCTTAACTGCTTGTCCACTTTGTTAAAACTGTGCTCCCTCTAGTGGACATCTGTCTTGTAACAGTTTGTGTGCTTTGGAGAAAATCTATTCATCCKAAACGTCTTTTTCCTCCTTTCCGCAAATGTTTTCAGGGCCAACCGAATCACTGGTCAAGGCCAAAGTCCAAGCATGCATATCAGTAAAAAAAAAAAAAATCCTTGCATCAAGAAAATTCAATCTAGTTGAGACAACAAGACTCGATGTCCTCTCCTGTCCTTCACATGAAGAGCATTTTAAATTCTCTCATTCCTGCAAGCACTCAAGACAAGTACAGAAGAGGATAAGGGCCAAAGTGCAAAAAAAAAAAAAAAAAGATTGTTTTGAGTTTTGACTTTTTTTTCCCTCAGAATCTGGAGAGTGGAAAATAAATGACGTTTTACACAATCCAATAAAATTTATTTTCGTACAAATTAAAAAATAAAGCGTACAAAATGAAGAATAGAAAGTAGCCATTATGAAAACCATGTCAATATCATAAAAAGAAAAAGGTCACAGTTAAATAAGTCATTAAAAACTGGAGTAACTAATCTGGGAAAAAATAAATAAATAAAAAACACGGTGTGGTGTTTAACATTTGAGGGTTTCTTTTTTTTTTTTTGGGGGGGGGGGGGGCAAAGATGTGGGGTGTACAGGGGTAGGAAGGAGCTTCCACAAGTTTCAAACATTGTTGCTGACAGTAGGGCGTAGCTTAATGAATGGTATTTTCTCCTTATCTTTCGACACATAAAGCCAGACTTTTTTCTTGATTCTTATTTACATTTTCAGCATAAAGTTGGAGTCCCATACGTCTATTAAATTCATTTAGTTTGAGGCTTTTTATAACAAGCAATGAAAATTAACTAAAAAATAATAAATAAAAAAATACAGTCACAACCAACAAGCAGTACAGTTGTGTTCAAAGTCATCAACAGGACTTTTGGACAAGTATTTCAGCATTGTGGCAAGTTACGGTGAAGACACTTGATGGGACAGAACATGAACAGCACATCTACCAGTCTTTGGATCTGTAGACCTGTGAGTCTCAGAGCCTGTCGATGGTGATACTTAAACAGAGGAGGCCTGTGTGAAGGCATCAAGACACACAGTGTGTCTGGTTCTCATTCTCTCTCATAGTCGTGTCCATCTGTGTTGGTTTTTACAGGGATGCTCACAAAGCTGACGCTTTCCCTCGGTGTAAGTGTGTCGGGCTCAGTGTCTGCGTGTGCGCTGGGCCCCGCTGCTGGTGGAGGTGATGTAGAGGAGGGGCTGTCGGGGGTGGGGTGTTTTCTTCAAGTTACCAATGCTGGCTGTAGAGGATTCAGCATGAGAGCCTGCGGAGTGAAAAATAATCAATAAACTGGGAGAATGCTTCTGCTTAAACATCAGCAGTGGTGATTGGTTACCTGTTTGCTGGGGGTTGTGGTGGGGCCTGACTCTGCTGAGGGGAGGGACCCCTCTGTACTGGGGACGCAGCACGGGGGCCTGGGGCTGACCGTTGATATGGAGGTGAGGGTCTGATGTGCTGTCCAGAGGGCGAAACCTCTGAGCTGTGGTGGCTTTTGCWTGAGGCAGCTAAAAGTGAGAAGAAAATTTAACAATTAAAAATAAAAAACATAAAAGTAGCTAAAACATAGAGTTAAAGTAGTTATAGTATATAAGTGAGTTAGCCATAGCATTATACAGCGGGTAAAATAAGTATTGAACACGTCAKCATTTTTCTCAGTAAATATATTACTAGAGGTGCTAATGACAAGAAATTTTCACCAGATGTTGGTAACAACCCAAGTGATCCATACATACAAAGAAATCAAACCATAAATGTCCAGAAATGAAGTTATTTGTAATAATGTGGAATGGCACAGGGAAAAAGTATTGAACACACTTKCTGAAATTTATCTAATACTTTGTACAAAAGCCTTTGTTGTCAATGACAGCTTCAAGACACCTCCTGTATGGAGAAACTAGTGGCATGCATTGCTCAGGTGTGATTTTGGCCCATTCTTCCACAAACAGTCTTCAAATCTTGAAGGTTTCGTGGACCTCTTCTATGAACTCTGATCTTTAGTTCTTTCCATAGATTTTCTGTTGGATTCAGGTCAGGTGATTGGCTAGGCCATTCCAGCAGCTTTAGTTTCTTTCTCTGAAACCAACTGAGAGTTTCCTTGGCTTTGTGTTTGGGCTCATTGTCTTGCTGAAATGTCCAGCCACGTTTCATCTTCATCATCCTGGTAGATGGAAGCAGATTTTTATCAAGAATGTCTCTGTACATTTTTCCACTCATCCTTCCTTCAATTATRTGAAGTTTGCCAGTACCATATGCTGAAAAACAGCCCCACACCATGATGTTCCCACCTCCAAACTTCACTGTTGGTATGGTGTTTTTGGGCTGATGTGCAGTGCCATTTGACCTCCAAACATGATGTGTATTCTGGCATCCAAACAGTTCAATGTTGGTCTCATCTGACCAGACTATATTCTCCCAGTATTACACAGGCTTGTRTAAATGTTGTGCAGCAAACTTTAAAGGAGCTTCAACATGCTGTTTCTTCAGCAGTGGAGTRTTGCGTGGTGAGCGTGCATACAGGCCATGGTGGTTCAGTGCATTACTTATTGTTTTCTTTGAAACAATCGTACCTGCTAATTCCAGGTCTTTCTGAAGCTCTCCACAAGTGGTCCTTGGCTCTTGGACAACTCTTCTGATAATTCTTTTCACTCCTCTGTCAGAAATCTTGTGAGGAGCACCTGGTCGTGGTCAGTTTATGGTGAAATAATGTTCTTTCCACTTCTGAATTATGGCCCCAACAGTGCTCACTGGAACCTTCAGAAGTTTAGACATTCTTCTGTAACCGATGCCATCATTATGCTTTGCAACAATAAGGTTGTGAAGGTCTTGAGAGAGCTCTTTACTTTTACCCATCATCAGATGGTTCTTGTGTGATACCTGGCCATCATTTGGGACTGAACCAGCTGATATTAACTTGCACTGACAAGGGGCAGGCTTGCTTTCTAATTACTGAGAGAGTTCAGCTGGTGTCTTGGCTTTCCATGCCTTTTTACACCTCCCTTTCTTCATGTGTTCAATACTTTTTCCCTGTGCCATTCCACATTATTACAAATAACTTCATTTCTGGACATTTATGGTTTGATTTCTTTGTATGTATGGATCACTTGGGTTGTTACCYACATCTGGTGAAAATTTCATGTCATTAGCGCCTCTAGTAATTTATTTACTGAGAAAAATGTTGACGTGTTCAATACTTGTTTTACCCGCTGTAACTCTCTAACCCTAACGGAGGACAATCCTCCACCTCTGAACTTCACTCAATTTTCACTTCTTTTTATTTTCTTCTTCCTGTAGATTTTTTGGCACTTGTCGTCAAATAATTTCAGGCACCAGTCCGAAAGGAGTTTGGGAGTTTTATGTTTGTTCAGCGAGGTGGGGGTGAGTCTACCCGTCTTTTGCTGCCTCCCACTTCAAATATGATGAACGATAAAGGGCAAAAAAAAGAACGTGCCAAAAACTATTTATGATTTTGGATTTAATACAATTTAAAAACTGGTGTATAAATTAAAGTCTGCTTTTTAAACACATTGGAACAGATTCTTAGAGAGAGCGTGTCAGCTCATTTGCGATAAGAAATATACTTCTGGATTACTGGTTAATGTGCTCGATTTAGGAAAAAATTCTGGAAATTATTTCCATACTTACCGGTAATTATAAAAGTGTCAGATTACAGATTATACATTCTGATATTAATAAAATATAGATTTATGATGTCTGCATATTTATTTGCAATTTTAAATGGACCTACTTTTCACTCATCTCATCTCCATTTTATTTTTTTCTTGGAATAAAACTCCATATCTGTTGCAAATGTTGCCTTTTCTATGAAGCACTGCAGGTGACAAAAGACGAAAATCGAACCTATTATGTCATCAAGCGGTCAAGCAAAATGCTACACGTTAAAAACAAACAAAGTCCTCTCAGCAGTTTATTTTGGCTCATGTGCAAATGAGCTGACGGTATGGATCGTGCTTCCAGATCTTTCCCACTAGAGTGATTTAAATCCATCATGTGACCGGGGTCCAGGGAGTCCAGGGTASTGCTGGGCGGTATACCGTTTTGTACCGAAAACCGGTTTTTATTTTTGTTATGATATGACTTTTCTGAATACCGGTGTAAATAGCCTGAACACATGCGGAACGTTTCGCTGCGGCCGCCAGTGATCTGTCTCCCTGGGGACATGTTTCCTTGCAGCACCGCTAAGCGCATTAGCATGCTAACATTGTTGTTGGAACAACTGGCGGTGGGTGGTGTGTTTCAGCCGCTTATGTGGTCTGACATAAAAAAAATCCCGTTTTCACCATCGCTGAATAGTAAACAACTCTTCAGTGTTGTGCACGGTTAGATTAAARGCGCTACGTTATAATGGAGACGTTATTGCATGGAGACTCTAGCGAGCTTTTATTGTGAAAAGCCCGGGGAGAAGTAGTTTTGTAGTGTAGCTGAGTTGACTGGTGTACAAGGTGAGTCGTCCTTTTAAGTTTTTATTAACACTTAACAATAGACCAGATAACGATTTTTCTCAACCCTTCATGGTTGGACCTAAATGCATGATTACTGTCTACAACCAAAGAAGAAAAGAGGAGAGGAGGGAAACAGTGATACAGAGGTACAGTAAAAGAAAAAAGTCAATAAGCAAAGTTTGTACATTTTATTATCAGCTGAGCTGTGAGGAAAAAATACAGTCAAATACCGTGAAACCGATGTTACTGTTGAAAATACCGTGATATAAAATTTGGGTCATACCGCCCAGCTCTACTCCAGGGCGTTAATCATCATATTAATTATGGGCTAGTTCTTTTGCCAATATTGCCCAACCCTGCTTGAAACTTTGCCTTATTGTAGCATTTATAATTTTGTTTAACCAAGTCTTGGTTCTTCTTAGATAAAACATCATTTATTTCAGTTCAGTTCAGTTAGTTTATTCATTTCTTTAAAAAACAACAACATAAATTCAACATTCAACAAAAATAGGAAATCATAAATTAAAGGAAAGGTAGCAGAAGAAGAAAAAATCTTATATCTGCCTTTTTTTTGCAAATAAATAAATTCAATCAAGAATAAAAAGGTTTAACTCCTTGAACAACAATTCATACATTTACATTTTTCTCCAGCAAATTATTCTTTATCATTCTCTTAAATATACTCATTGATCTGGCATTTTCAATGTTATCTTCCAGATTATTCCAGATTATTTCATATAACAAGTGAAAAACTACTCACTGCTTGACCCGTGACCTCAAAAGACCGTGAACGCCTCTTCTTGCGGCGAGCTTCAAAGTCCACCTCGCGAGGCGTTTGGGTCTTGGTGACGACCTGGCGGTGACGAGGGCGTGTCCAGGTCCCCTGCTGCAGGCCGGGCCCCTCCCCCGTGCTGCTGGACAGGTTGTCGTCKGAGGTGGCGTGTCTCAGCTCGGGGCTGGGCTGCCTGCAGCGCTGCAGCGGAACACCTCTAGGAGGAGCCTCGTTCAAAGAAAGGTTGCTTTTCTGCTTTTTCGGGTCGAACGGGGAGGGGGCCGGGGGCAACCGCAGAGCGTCCACCTCTAGAGCTTTGGAGCGCCGACGGGCTGCTTTGACCACAATGTTCTGGACTCCTTTTAGGATCTGCTGCCGTTCTGTCCGAACATAAGGAAATATTTATTCGCATTTCTGCAGCTGAAGATTTACAGTGACATTTAGGGTTTTCCATAAGCTCAGCTGGATATAGTACTAAATATTAAACATGTAAATTTAGGGCAAAAAAGTGCCTAAAAACTTGACAATTCCATTWATTTATAATTTAAAAGCAGCCTCTAAATTGCCGCAGTAAATCTGCCCCGTGTTCATAAATAAATTGGTTCCCGTCAACGAACAACATCTTTATTTTCATCTCTGCTCTTCGATTTCATGTACTGCAATGCTGCGGCGCGCACAGCATGCCTCATCAGTTTGATAGATTGTTTTTAGGGAGTGAGGAAGTGCTCCTGGGGTTTGGTTTGGGACACAAAAAACAGCTTTTAAATACTCTGACAACGTCTCTCTTTTGACTGTGACCTCAGCTTGAAAACTCCCAGAGTCTAGAGGTGTAAGCACAGTCATCATGATTGTACATTATTATGTTTGCCCTCAAGAGGTCATAAAGTCAAACGTAATGTGCAGATCCACATTTTCTTAAAGTTCTATTCAGATTTTAGTATTTAAAACATTTTTTTCGAAGATTCCTTGACTTCAAGGTTTAAGCAATCTATACTTAATAACGTAAAATCATCTTACCGTTTCGGGAAAGGGGGAAATCAGCCCCGGCCTCGCTGCTCTCAGGTGAAGAGTCCAGCTGGCTGCTGAGGCTGTGGCTGAGATGGCTGTAGCACGTAAAGCTTTCAGGAGCCAAAGGCTGCAGCTGCAACACAAAAGACGGGAGCGATTCATTGCCGCCACACATTCACTGCAGCACTTTACTTGTAGCTGGCCAGAACCGAAATCCTTTCTGTGTGGCTCCGAAATTCTATTTCAAGAGGAACGTTTTTACTCCGTGTGTAATTTTTGCCACTTAAAGTTGTCCTTACCTCTCTGTTGCCCCTTCCGTTGATGTGAATTGGAGGTGGGGTCATCACAGCTGAGCTCTTTATTTGCCTGGCATGAGGGCTGCTCTTAAAAACTCTGTCGCTGAAACAAAAAAATGAATTAAAAATCCATAAACGGTAGTTTTAGTGTATGTATTTATATACATCAGGGATGTTTTCTTACGGCTCAGACTCCGGCAGAATGGGGGGCAACGTGTGTCTACGAATCCTGGCCTGACCTCGTCTGTTTTCAGCGCACATGTTGAGCACGCTTTCCTGGTCTGAATCCACATCCTGCGTGTAGTCGCGACCCAGACCGGGCAGAGCGATCTTGGGTAAAGAACCCTCCTGGAAACGAGAGCGTAGAAAAGTCATTACTCATCCTGTCACTCCTTTCTATATTTAGGCATTTTAATTACCATATTTATTCATGTATAATACGATCTCATGTATAATACGACCCCCCCTTTTTTTTAGCTTAAAAAGCATAAAAAATTTAATCCTCAAACTATCTCCAATTTCATTCAGACTTCAAGTTTTTTTCAGCCTTTGAAGTCTTTATACATATCAGTAAAATGATCATTGGACTGTTCATTTTATTTTAACAACATATGTACTAAAAGGTATTTTGACAACAAATATATATCAGCTGTAGCAGCAAAATATGAATTCTGGCATTTTACACACA